CGTGCCAGCGGCCCGGATCGACGCTCCTGCAAGAGCCTCTGCGCAGCGCCAGGAGGCCGCGGAGAAGCTTCGCTCCGCTTCTCACTCAGCCTTCCCCCAGAGGCGATCCGAGACTTCCAGCGGTGGAGCTTGGAGAAGCAGCGGCCGTAGGCCGGGTCAGCTGGTGGGCGGTGGGGCACTTTGCATCGTGGGAGCCGCCAAGTGCCCAGGTCTGCAGTAAAGGCGCTTGGCAGCTCCCGCGATGCAAAGAGCCTCTGCGCAGCGCCGGGAGGCCACGGAGAAGCTTCGCTCCGCTTCTCACTCAGCCTTCCCCCAGAGGCGATCCGAGACTTCCAGCGGTGGAGCTTGGAGACGCAGCGGCCGCAGGCCGGGTCAGCAGGTGGGCAGCGGGGCACTTTTCATCGCGGGAGCTGCCAAGCGCCTTTACTGCAGACCTGGGCACTTGGCGGCTCCCACGATGCAAAGTGACCCACCGCCCCCGATGCCGCCACCCACCCGCTGACCCGGCCTGCGGCCGCTGCGTCTCCAAGCTCCACCGCTGGAAGTCTCGGATCGCCTCTGGGGGAAGGCTGAGTGAGAAGCGGAGCGAAGCTTCTCCGTGGCCTCCCGGCGCTGCGCAGAGGCTCTTTGCATCGCGGGAGCTGCCAAGCGCCTTTGCTGCAGACCCGGGCGCTTGCCGGCTCCCGCGATGCAAATTCCCCCCCACCGCCGAGGCCGCAAATTCCCCCCCACACCGCCGAGGCTTCGCAAAAGGATGCCCAGCTGAGCCTCACCAGGCATAAACCTCACCGCACGTCACTGTCTCAAAGTAACCACACCTTAGAATCTCTCATGGTGTATCTGTTAGATTAGAAGATAGCCATATTCTTCTGTTTGGCTACTGAGACAGAATACAACTATATTGTCCAAATGCTATCCAATCTGTTTTAATGTCTCTAGTTTCATGCAGGTTGCCCTGATACAGAAAATTGTATGGAAAAAAAATGCCAGATTAGCAAGAGCATTATTGGATTCAGAGTTCATGTTTTTCCCCCTAATTCTATATTAGTCTGCTGACTTTAATAGTCTGTTGTTCATTTGTATAGCCTTACTTCTCAGTTCATCAGACTGTGATTAAAGCATTAGTGGTTCATTCTTATATAAGTGTACCAACCATCCTCATTTGCTCCAGTTATGTAACAATGAAAAAGGCAATGCAGAATTAATTTAGAGCACCTTATTCAGCAGAGAAAATTGCCAAAGGTATAGTATTATATTACTGATTTTGTTTAAAATTCTGGTATCTATGTCATGATAAGAGGCTTGCCCTCTGCTGTAGAATTAAAAATCTTTTATATATAAATTGAACAATCTTGGCAAACACCACCCAGAAATCCCAGGAGACTATCAATATATTTTAAAAGTTTTATTTTAGCAATGTAAGCATTTCACCATAATTCAGAATGTACATGTGCATGCCAAGCAGTCCTCTTTGTCATTGGCCAAGTAACAGAAGAATCATGGGAAGCAGCTTTTGAGATGAACCTTGATGAAATGGAAGATGGGGCTTTGAACCTCTTCCTCCTCCACCTCAGATCTCTCTTATTTGCAGTGTTAACCTACCTCATCTTTATTGATGTAGAGGAATAAGGGAGATTGCCTTGAAGAAAATATATGGCAGCCATTGAGAAAGCATGAACTTAGCCCAAGTAAACTTGGCCCAGGTAAACATGAACTTAGTTCAGGAAGGTGAGACAAGAAAAGTTAAGATTATCTTGCTTTGATTCTTCTTGATAGAAGAGGGAGGTAAAGAAAATACTCTCAGGCTTTCAAGAAGCTGTCATTTGTATAAATGCAATTCTAATTTTAGTATTTCTTGTAGTGTTTATTTCCTGATTTGGTCTTACCACAAAGGGCTAGTATTGATGGTTATTCCAATGCCATAATCATTTATCAAGGTCCGACAGATATTCATTTGGTCCTTTCCATGAATATAGTATTACAATAATGTTAGATAAATCTTCTCAAAAATTCTCCCTCTCTTCATATTTTTCATTGGAATTTCTTATTTCTTGGCATAGTCTGGTTCAAATTCCATCTCCAGAACAATTTATTAACCTTTCATTATTGTCTATTAATTTATTCTGTAATATCTACCATTCATGACTTTGCTACAAAATGAAGAACACTCAATATTGAAGAGAATGGTGCTTGTTCAAATTAAATGAGCACAGAAAGAATTAATTCATAAAATTACAGATTGTTCAACAAGATATCCTATTTTATGACAATTCCATACATTGTGTAGTGTTTGAGATTTAATACAGCATTCCAAAGAATGGTTTGTGCATCATGCATTAAACAATATTAATTTTTTTCAGGATTCTGGTATTGAAACTATAGTCTTTTTGTTGATTTGTATATAAGCTCAGAAAACCTAAGACATGTATGTAATTTCCTTGCATGGGAGAAAAGACAAAAGACAATGAGAAGCTTCTAGTTATGGTTTATAATTTGCATTTTTAAAATATTCTGACAATGAAAAATGAGAGTTATAGAATTCAGAATTAGTTAAAAATGCAGAAAATCTCAGTTATGGCCTCAGACTATTCTCCACTGAATAGTGCTTTAAATTCTGTTAAGGTATCACAGAATATCCAGGGGAAGTTTGAGTCCAGCAGTTCATGAACCATTTATACTTTGGATCATTATGTAAAACAGCCTTGCTGCTCTGAATCTTTGAATTTCTGGAAACTGTGCTTACTGAAAGAACATTTACCATGAGAATCATAATTATTTCTGTAAATATGATACAATTATTGTACTTGTATATTATTGTTATTCTCGATATCTCTCTATATACTTTATTGTTAATAATACAATTTCCTGCAATTTACGAGATTTAGTCTCTGAAAGCTTCTGCCATATATATTTGTGCCAAGGAGCTTTAAGACTCTCTTGGTTTTCTGATATGACTAAATCTTATATGCATTTGAATGAACATTAGCATACGTTTAATAGAAAATAAGCAAATACCTTTAGTTTTTTTGTCAACTGGTCACGTTTACTGAATATCTACTTTCTACATTATTTTATTACTGACGTAACATTGCTATATAATCTAAGACATAGATTTTAATCTCTTGTATCCTTCTTTTCTCTTCTAGGTGGAACGGGAAATAGCCATCTTGAAGTTGATAGAACATCCCCACGTTTTAAAGCTGCACGACGTTTATGAAAATAAAAAATATTTGTAGGTATTATTCATTGACATTTAATTATTATTAAACAAATTTATATAGCAGACCCATTCACACACAGTGATTTTGGGTGGCCTGTAACATATGAAAGAATAATATAGTACATTGGGAATAGGAGGACAGTGAACATTTCAATATGTGGAATAGACCAGTCAAATCAACAGAAACAGACTAGTGAATGACTCTTTCAATATCAGTCAGTGAACCCATGGATGTATTGACAATTGAAACTTGTCAAAATCTGTCAATTCCACCATTGATAAATTAACAAAACTCTTATTGTTCTTTACATTTCTCTAAAGCAGAATTCCCTAGTTTGGTAGCTTTCAGATGAAAGTTAATCTAAATTTATGATGACATCAAGCTGGGAAGATCTGCTCTGGAATTTGAAAAGGAGTATATTTCTCAAAGCTAAAAGAAGTATTATAATCAAATGTCATGCAAGATTTTAAGAACCTTTTTTGGCTCCTTCCCCCGCAATATTGATGTTTTGTTTATTTATTTTTACTGACTCCATTTATTTTACTGATTTAGTGAAACTAATGAATACATCCATTGTCACTTTCTTAGGGGAATTTGAATTCCAGAATTTTGCCAGGTTTACTAGCAACAAATGAAAGAATTGTAACTATGGCCAGAAATATCTAAAATATATTAAGATATTTTAAATTTTATTACCATGTTTTACAATTTACAGGAGAAACTCGAAAAATTAGAATATTGTGCAAAAGCTCATGAAAACCCCAAATCCACAATCTCAGAAAATTAGAATATTGTGCAATAAATAAAACAAAGATTGTACATAGAACAATATTGGACCTCTGAAAAGTATAAGCATGCATATGTATTCAGTACTTGGTTTGAGCCCCTTTTGCAGCAATTACTGCATCAATGTGGCATGGCATGGAAGCTATCAGCCTGTGGCACTGCTGAGGTGGAAGACCAGGATGCTTCAATAGCGGCTTTCACCTCTTCTGCATTGTTCGGTCTCATGTCTCTAATCTTTCTCTTGGCAATGCCCCTTAGATTCTCTATGGGGTCCAGGTCAGGCGAGTTTGCTGTCCAATCAAGCACAGTAATCCCCCGGTCATTGAACCAGGTTTTGGTGCTTTTTGCAGTGTGGGCAGGTGACAGGTCCTG